ACCTCTGAAAACAGGTGACCCCCACCTCCTTACTTCGTAAATATCTCGACTTGTACTCAAGATAAATGGATATTTTTTTAATCAAAATAAAATCAATTGAGCAAGCTTTAAGATAATGCCAATAACTCTACATGCCCAAAAATTGACGAGAGCCTGATTCCACCACGTTGCCTCACAATTGAGCTTGGTGGACGCCCCGTCACTCAAAGTGATTCTGAATTTGCGAAGAAGTATAATAATATCTATTTTATGTCCAGGTCAAACGAATTGTGAGTTGTGCTGACTGAATGAGTCACTTCTAGTGATCCAAGAATGGAAGATATAGCGGTCGAAAATCAACTCTGGGGTCAGGTGTATAGATTTTCAGTGGATGCCATTTTGTTCAAGTCTACCTTGTCTTTTATTATTCCATACTTACAAATTGTGTTTGGCTAAAACAGCACCTGGACATGGATGGCTGGTGCCTCTATAAATAAATCATTGATGGTCAGGACTTACAAATTGTACAAAATCCACCAATAAAGTTGATGTATCCATTTCCATACGGATAAAATCTGAAAGAAGTAACTCATTTTATCAGCACAACTCACAATTGTGAAACCAAATCTGAATGGGCAGTTCAGTTATTTCTCTAAACACCGGCTATACTTGATTGTATTTTCAAATAATTATTAACGGTTAAGACTACATTTATATAGCGCATAGCCACGCTTTACAGCTTTCTTTATACATTTCAAAACTATTATTACTCTAGAAGACTTTCGAACCACCCCCACCAGGGCAGTGTTACTGACTGAAGTGTCTTTAGGCTATTCCCAAAGGGGGGACATTAACATGTTCTTATGCACAGTAGAATGTTTAATGGGCTGATTTATCAATGTCATGCTCATACTGTGTCGGAACGACATATGGGGAACCGCTGCTTTTTCTTTCTTCATCCTTACTATCATCATTTTCCTCTACTTCTTTTGTATGTTTGTCCCTCTCTTGCGAACTGCCATGTCTTTGGTGCCTTGATAGTCGAAGCAGACGTTGTGCTGTTGTGGCTAGAGAGGTGAGTAGAGTAAGCCTGATTCATAGTTTGGATTTCTCTGTTGACATCCACCCCTTGGCGCTTATGTGTCCTTATGTAGTTGCGAGCACCGTAAAACCCTCTACTAAAACTAAACTAAAAATTCAAAGAAACACTGTAGTCTTCCTAAGAAGCTTACATTGCAAGTTGCGGATAGCACGCGTTCTAATACGGGGTGCCCACTACGGGTGGGATCAGACGATCGGGCTGATCGCCTGACTCGATCGCCTCAAAAACAAACGTGTTTGTTTTCAGTTTCAGGCGATCGAGTCGGGCGATCGAGTCGGGCCATCGAGTCGGGCGATCGGCCCAATCCAGCCGTAGTGGGCACCCCGTACAACACTAACATACTGACAAGATCTTTCGCTGTCTACAACCGGGCACCCATTCCCACCTGGGTGAAGTGAGGAAAAGTAGTGTAAAGCACCTTTCCCAAGGACAATACGTCTGGCTCCTGGTGAAATTCGAACCCACAACCTTACGGTTAAGATTCTGAGAGCTGAACCCCTTGACAACCAACGCTAGAAATCAGATGTTATATTAAGGAACTCTGACCATCTCTTTAAACAGAGTAACTAAGATAGATTAACTGATTGCTTAGATGGTTACAAGTTCTTTCGTGACTGTTAGAAAAACTGATTTGTTTTATAAAGTGTTTTAGTTCGGGGGAGAATAGGCTGACATAAAAAATGTTAATGGTTTGGGGGAAATATAGAAGGCACAAGGGAAAAAGGACATTGTTACTCTAATCCTTGTGAACTTTACTGAGAGTTTCATTTGCCTCACGTGTTATCAACATCGAAAACCCCCACTATGTTTGGCACGATTGTAAACGACTGCACACGTTTTCCCACTCCAATCAACTCGGTTTAGATCACAACACAGACAGACAGATGGACTTCTTCAGCTGTGTCGGACACGGGTTTGGAGTGTTCCGATAGTTGACTCAACTTTTTCATTTTTCCGTTATCGATTCTGTCTGCCTTTCTATCCTTCTCTCTGTCTATCTATCTCGCTTACTTTTCTCCAGTACTAAAAGGCCATTATTTTGTCGAAGTGCTTCTCCATACTAAATTAACAAACCAAAATAACAGAAAAAACGAACCCAAAAGTGCAGAGAAGATCAACTTGGGTTGAGTGGATTACTACGCCCCACATCTGCAATACAGAAAGCGTTGACAAATAAAACTCGCTACACAGAGAGGGACTGCGTGTCTTTTGTCTGAAACGACGCTAAAAATGTCACGTTGGTTTGTTTTCACGTGTCCAGATAAACCTAAATATGTGAGGCAGCGTGGTGGAATCAGGCTCTCGTCAGTTTTTGGGCACGTAGAGTTATTGATAGCATCTTAAAGCTTGCTCACTCGCCTTTATTTGGATGAAAAAAATATCCATTTATCTTGAATATAAGTCGAGATATTTGCGAATGAAGGAGATGGGGGTCACCTGTTTTCAGAGGTAAAATTAGTGAGAAAATGGCCGCCAAAGATTAGTTATTTCCTTATCTCAAAAGTCCATGGCAACTGAAAATTTACATTTTTTGTGCCTTAAATCGACGTTTTCAGAAAAATACACTCAGAAATGAGTTCTTTAATGGGCAGGAAAGGTGTTAAGCCAAAGAACAAAAATTTTATAAAAGTTCACAAACTTGTGGAAGAATGCAAGTTTCTTCACTTTGATTATTTTGACGAGAGCCTGATTCCACCACGCTGCCTCACATAATTTTATGGTTACGTAAATTAGAAATAGGATAATAAATGGCAACGGCAAATTTCAAATAATAATTCACAAGTGCTTGTTAAAAACGTCAGGGGTAGGCGCAAAGCAACTTACTTATGGAACCTAAGCAATAAATGGGTAACGGGGAAAGATCAGGGAAACGTAGCTTTTTTTTAGAGCATCCGAGCAAAGGAATGAATGGAGAACCGTGATCGCTGATGTCTGTCACGGATCTGGCACTGGATGATGAGTGCTTGTCAAACAAACCTATCCAAACTTCGTGTCGTTCAGAGCGCAACAAGGGTTTAAATTCTTGCCCCATATAGCTAGATACAGTACGTGAGGCCAGTTTTGGGGTGAGCAGTTGGTCCCCTACATCTGATAGAAAAACGTAAGTCTGTTTAGCTTGTGGATACAGTTTTCGTTTCATTCAGTAAGTTGTAAGGGCTGTACGGTACATGTAACACAAATAGACAAATACAGTTTATTAAGTCATATTGTGTGTGGAATATTAGAGGTGTTACTAGAGAGTGACAAACAAAGAAATATAGAGGGGAGATAAGGGTGGTAGGTAGATATTGACCAGGAAAGAAGGAGCAGGCCACACTTGAGCACCTGTCAATCAAACACACTTATTGTTATGCCTCCCCCGTAGAGGATATATTTTTCTAGATAGAGTAGATATACTCTACGATCTAATCATCTATCAGTAATTCCAACTCAAGCAAACGATCAGATTTTGTGTCGGTGGTCTATAAGATAAGCTATTGGGCTCGCCACTGAAAGACATGAGTTCGAGACTCCGACAATGTGTGCTTAGGGAAGAAACTTTACACGAATTCTATTCACTTCTCCAAGTTGGGCGTGGGTACTCTAGCTATAGACGGCGAAAGCTCCTGTCCTTTTGTTGGAATATTTGAGCGCTTAATCGGTTGCTTGCACTGTATGCTTCCCGGGCAGCTGAGAATATTTCTTAGTGTTCTATGGTCTACTGGGGTAATAATAATATGTGTCACGACGCGGTGGAATCAGGCGCTCGTCAATTTTTGGGCATGTGCAGTTATTGATATCACTTCAAGCTTGTTTATTTGCCTTGCTTTGGATGGAAAAAAAATAGCAATCTACCTTGAATAAAATTCGAGATATTTGCCACTGAAAGAGGTGGGGATTGCCTTGTTCCAACGAGAAAATGGCCACCAAAGTTCGATGACTTCATAAGTTTGAGAGGCCTTGGAAAATGAAAATCAGCAATTTCTGTGCCTTTAATCATCGTTTTTCCAGTAAAATCAAAGAAAAAAGTGTTTGAAAACGGATATAAAAAAGCAAAAAAAAACCCCAAACATTTGTAAAACATTTTTCAAACTGGCAGAAAAAAACGCCAGTTTGTTCGATTTCAGCATTTTAACGAGCGCCTGATTGCACCACAATGCCTCACAGCATGGTGGAATCAGGCTCTCGTCAGTTTTTGGGCATGTAGAGTTATTGGTATCACCTTAAAGCTTGTTCACTTGTCTTTATTTGGATGAAAAAAAGTTCCTTTATTTTGAATACAAGTCGAGATATTTGCGAAAGAAGGAGGTGGGGGTCACCTGTTTTCAGAGGCAAAATTTGTCAGAAAATGGCGCCAAAGATTTGTTATTTCCTTAGCTTAAGAGTCCGTGGTAACGGAAAATTTACATTTTTTGGTGCCCTTAATCAACAGTTTTAAGAAAACTCCACACAGAAATGAGTTCTTTAATGGGCATGAAAGGTGTTGAGCCAATTTTTTTTTTTAAAGTTGATAAAAATAAACAAACCCGCAGAAAAATGCAACGAGAGCTTGATTCCACCATGCTGCCTCACATATAGTTTAAAGCGCATAGAACTTTCTGCCGAGAGGGAATATGCTCCATATAAATACAGTTTATTATGATAATGATTTTGATTTTGAAAATGATCGTTATGCTTATATGCTTATGATTATGAGTATACTAAGGACTATCATATGCTTTTGATTATGGTTATGATTATGATTATACTTAGAATATCAATATGACTCTATGGCATTATATTTTAAAAAAAATATTGTTATTGTTATTATTATTGTTATTATTATTATTATTATTATTATTATTATTATTATTATTATTATTATTATTATTATTATCATTATCATCATTATTATTCCAACACCAGTGAGTGGAGCGATCTATGAGCTGGTAAAGAAGCCATGAACCTCAGCCAGCAGGCCTCCCAGCAAAACGCCACCAGTTCTCTCGCTGCGTGGGCAGACAGCGAAGTTGAAAACCTGCTCTACAAGATCGAGATTGTCCTCAACCAAACGCTGACGGTCGCCATGATGGTGATGAGCGTCGTTGGCAACACCCTAGCAACGCTGGTGCTGAGCCGTCGCGCCTTCCGGCATCTGCCCACTTCCGTGTACCTCCGATTCCTGGCTGTGATGGATGCTGGGACGGTGGTCACTGGACTCACTCACAGGTTTACGCTGGCCGTGGCGGGTGAGTTAGACTTTAAAAAAAAATAGTAGAGGGTTTTACGGCGCTCGCAACTGCATAAGGTCATATGAGCGCCACGGGGTTAGTGTCAACAGAGAAGTTTTTACAGGGAATCAGACTTAGACTGCTCACCTCTCTCGCTTCAACAGCACAAGGTCTGCTTCGACTATCAAGGCACCCCGGAAATAGCAGGTCACAAGAGAGTGACAAACATACAAAAGAAGTAGAGGGAAATGACAATAGTAAGGATCAGGAAAGAAAAAGCAGCAGTTCCCTGTAGTAGACCAGGCACAGTTATGAGCGTGACATGAGTCAGTCTATTTACAGTTCTGCTATGCTTGAACGAGAAATCTCGCCCCTTTGGGAATGGCCTAAAGACACTTCAGTCAGTGGCACTGCCCCGGGGGGTTGAGTTAGAATGACAAGAGAGAGAGTTTGTCGGTCGATAATTTGTTCAAGATGTTTTATGTCTTAAAATGTTATTAATTTTTATAGGAGATAAACAGAACGGGGGAAGAAAGAGGCGAAGAGAGAGAGAGAGAGACAG